AATTTCTTTTTAAAGTCGCAGTGGGTGGGACACCAGCTGACACACTCGATGACCTGAGTTGAGCCCTACCAGCTGTCCTCTGACTTCTACACAGACACTGTGGCACACGTGAGGCACGTGTGACTACACTCACCACCCAGGAGGCTGAGAGAAAACGCTTACGTGAAGCCAGCCTAGGTTACATACTGAGTTCCAGGTCAGCTAGAGCCATGTCAAAAAATTCTGTCCAAAAAAAAAAAAAACAAGGAAAATTTTAGCCAGGCAAGGTGTTGGCGCACGCTTTTAATCCCAGCACTCAAGGCAGAGGCAAGCGGATCTCCTTGAGTTCAAGGCCAGCCTGGTCTACAGATTGAATCCAGGACAGCCAGAGCTGTTATACAGAGAAACCAGAAACAAAAGGAAAAAGAAGACACAGTCGTGTGCTTGGATGTTGTCAGCCCTGGCCTGGATGCTTTATCCAGCATCCTTCTACCCAGCACACAGCATCAAACCATGTTCAGTGCCAGGAAAATGATGCTCTATTCTGGTGAGGCCTTTGCTTTTCTGCTAAATAACCTGGACTCTCTGTGTCAGTTTCCTAGAGGAAGTCCTGGCATCGGGGCTGCACAGCCGCAGCAGGGAGAGCACACAGGCCACCTCGAGGTCAGCAAGCAGAAGATGAGATGACGATGGGTACCCCTGCCTCAGCCCTTCCCTGCCTCCCGGGGCCTCAGGAGGGCTCACCAGGACTGGCGCGCGAGCCCATCCCAACCCCCTTGTGTTCTGTATCGAATAAATGTGTTCTTTGTGTATTTGACAGCGGCTGCTTTAGAGTTTGATGGGCTTGGTCGAGATTGTTCTTGAGAAATGGATTGTCAGAGATATGAGGGATTCAGAAAGCCGTGTGCGATACACGGTACCGTCCCTTATGTCCTGAGCAAGAGAAGTTCCATGTGACGTGAGTCAGCCATGTGAAGGACCATGGGATTAGAACTATGGGCAATTGACTAAGCCTTTCCCTCAGATCACATTCAGAGAGGCAAGTCCTTCCTCCGCCCAAGTGGGAGTGTTCTAAAAGACTAGCAAGGACAGCTTCCTCCTCCAGCTGAGACTGCCCCCCTACAGACACCACCACCTGAGACTAGCTAGCCTCTGGGGGAGGGGGGCGTACCTAAGTGCCCTGAGGTTCCAGGTTGCTGAGGCAGAGTGCATACAACCCACCCAGCTTTTCTGTACTTGTGTTTGTGTCTGTTCTTTCTTCACACCCTTACTGGCCCAGGAAGGGGTCCAGGACACAGCCCCTCGTCTCCTGTTCACCTCAATCTGGCACACTCATTTCTTTGGAGAGCCATTTGCTGTGGCATTGGGAACCCCTGTAGGGTTGCAGTAGGAATTCAGTCTGCAGAGATATGAGTGATTTTGTTTGATTTCTTTGAGGCTCATTCATGGGAATTCACAAGGTGAGACTTGAGATGGTGTTATACCATACAACGAAGGCACAGCCGGTCCCCGGGCATGGCTAGTTATGCCAGAGCAGATGAAAACTCTGGTCTCAGTTTTTCCTCTCCTGAAAGTAGTAAAAAGTGATGATATCAATAATGGTAGGAAATTAAGGTCCTCACATAACTGAAGCAAAAACACCACAGCACAGTCCCTGGTTCTCTGTAGAATAGGTCAACCAATCTCCTGGAGCTGGAGTTACAGCCTGCCCAGTGTGGGTGCTGGGAACTGAACTCAGGTCCTCTGCAAGAGCAGCAAGCACTTTTGACTGCTGACCCAGCCCTCCAGCCCCTTAATGTATATGTTGATAAGTATTCTCTGGCATCATTCAAATTTATGTGATATGAACAATATTGGGAGTATTGGTCTTTCTGTGGCAGGCTCAGTTTCTTCATCCATAAAGTGAAAATAATTAGTGCCTTCCTCATGTGATGACAAAGATTAAATACAGAGATATGGCCGGGCGATGGTGGCGCACGCCTTTAATCCCAGCACTCGGGAGGCAGAGGCAGGCGGATCTCTGTGAGTTCGAGACCAGCCTGGTCTACAGAGCTAGTTCCAGGACAGGCTCCAAAGCCACAGAGAAACCCTGTCTC